GCCTATAAATTATGGACGACCTTTGAGTGACGCTAGGAACCTTAAGGCGACTCATCTACTAACCAGGTTCAAAAGTTATAAATTAATATGAAGAATTAAAATTAGAATCCAAGGTAAGGAATTAAAGTAATGGTTTTCATCACCGAGTGATATCAGCTAAAATGTCAAAGTGCTACTTAACTATATGGACGACCGAATTTCGAGCCGAAGTTCAAGACTTGCTACCCTTAATTTCGTTAGTTCGTCCATAAATTAGTCTCGCCATCATAACCGATTGTTCAAAGAATTTTATTACAAGAGTACTGAAGTAATAAAAAGGTTCATTGACAAATGATTTGCCCCTTGCTTTACTAAGGCATGTGGTGGCGCAAGTAATTTTAAAATAAAACACAAAAGGTGTAAATGGTTACATATCCCCAAGGTTACGTAACAACAAATAAATCAAAATAAAGCTGGTCAAGACTTACGTGTGAGGCATTTGCAGCCATAGCAACCGCTGCATTGGCTAGCGTGTTTAAACTACTGAAGGATTCAGGTATAGTGGTAGTTGCAAGCAAACCGGAAGTCACATTCGGAAAACATCCACTAGTAACAACTAACCTACTTAGATCAGCAACTGGCAAACACGAATCTAAAGAGTATGCTTGTCCATGGGCTGGGGGTGCAATAAGAAGTGCTGATGAGGGGAGAACAATCCTTCCTGGGATAGAGTTCGCTGTATTTTTAGAAATGTTTAGAACATGCGGCATTGCCATCACTGGTGCAATGGGAGTTTTGGGCATACCAAGTGACATAACAATTGGATGAGCCTGACTAATAAGAGGCTGTGGTGCAAGAACAGAAGGCGAGCAGCTGACAAAAGGTACTGATGTATTTCCCTTTTCTGTTGTGTTGATATGCTCAGGAGTTTGTAGCCGCTTCAAGGTTTGCTGCAAGCTTTCAATACTAGATGGTGTAAGCTTCTGTAATAGTTGTAGCCAGTCATCTTCACTCAACTGGATGGGTGCTGAATTAATTCCAGAGTCTGAATTTTCGTTTACTTCAGTCATCGTATTAATCCTTACAATTAGTAGAACATTAGACCAATTGGCACTACAATTCACTCATGGGGATTTATCAAAACGCCATAGTAACAAAATAAGCGTCTTAGAATAACATGGCCCCTTGGAAATACGAGAAAACTGGACAAGCTGCTAGTGCCGAAGCGATTGTCCCAGTGGTCAACTCGATACAGGGTTGACTTTTACAACTAATGACTATTTAATTTTTCTGCCAATAGCGACGTAGCAAATTAAACCAATAAAATAGCTAGAGAGTAAATCGATCACATGCGCAACATCACACGCGTCATGCAGCGTTGCTGACTAGCTTACAAAACTTACGTAATGTGACGCGTCATTATTTTGTGTCTAGCGTACTATCAGTCAGGCTAAATGATACACTAGTTTGCTGTTTTACTATTGGTTTACCTATTCAATCTGTCATTGACCACTTATGTAAAAGATTTTTGTTACTCAGACCCAACTCCATTTATGCTTGTGTGTGTATGTATATGCAAATAATCAGTATGAGTGTCTGGCCACAACTATTTATGGGACAATTTCATACCGAGGTGAATTGTTACACGGCTTAGTATTTTTTAATAGCCCTATAAATATATCAATGTACAAGATATATGGGATTATTTTGTAAGGCAGAGATGTTTCTTCATTATTATACCACCCTCCCAACAAATGTTTATTGACACTATTCCGCATTTTCAGTTTTAGAAAGGTGAGTTACTTCTGTTTATTTTTCTCATTAATAGTTTGACCGGGGCTTTAGTATAAGTCCCATTAACTATTTGTTAATAAGATCTTAAGAAAGTAATAGTCTAAAAGAACTGTTGCTCTGTTTAGTTACTTTGCTCCATATGCAGAATTTTCCTTGAAAGAATGAAGGCGGGAGTTTGATTATTGGTCTACTGATGCTGATATAAAGTTATAAAACTGCTCACTTATTCGCTACTGGATGAAATAGATTATGCAATGATAAACTACATCTTCTAATTGCATTATCGAAATTTATCAAAGGGACTAATTGTTTGAAATAGATATAATTAAGAATATTATCGGCTATGGGACTGAATATCGGACAAAACCTCGATGTGTCAAAGTACTTCTGTGATATAAGTGTAACTTTGGCCATCAGTCGATTTGTTCAGAAAACACCAAATCATTGTAAGCTGTGAAGTTCAGTAACGGTTAACAGCACGTAAGAATAAGACCTGAATACAGTTAATGTAACAAATTAGCTTCACAGAAAATTAATTTGATGTGCGCATCCCATTTAAACAACCGTCTAGTATTTGAATTATAGATATCTGGTTAGCAAAATTTATAAATGAATATAAATCCTTCGGAAGTACACTTTGTTGACTAGATACTGAATTAAGTCACCAACATAAAAAAGTATTTCACAATATAAGTTCTCGTTGAATAACTTTATGTATAATTCTTACTAGATATTTAGGCTATTGCGATGTACCATTTCAGTTAGCATTAATTTAGTTTAAATTAATGTCTACTGAAATTTTCTTCCAACTTCAGTTACCACTCATGTGCATTGAAATCACTAAGCCAACTGAATACATTGTTATTTTAAAATATGAATTCTCTAGAAAATATTAGTGTTTAAGTAACGAGATCGTGAATTGCATAGGACTTCAAAGAAAAAAAATTAAACTTCATATCTAACATATGTATTGAACGTAAGTTAATTTATTTCGATTGTTGAACAATCAATACAAAAATACAATAATCTTTACCCCTTTGCACTAGCTTGTGGCTATCTGGACGCAATAGCTAAGTGAATAACAGTACTGGGTTCGAGTCCTGGAGTGAACATCAACTCTGGGACGCGGGTACATCCAGCTGATGAGTCCTGAATGTGACGAGACGCGCGTCCTGGATTTCACTGCTAGACACCACACATCTCTACTTATAAGGTAAGTGGATTTGTTATCAGCTATGTACCCCTTCATTATAAGAGAAACCTAGTCAAATGTCTTGCAAATAGAGCTAGGAAGATATGCTCAGTAGATACAATAAACAAGGAATTAGAGCTCATACATAATATATTGATTGAAATGGGTTATCCACAAGGTTTCCTCAAGAAACACTTACATATAACAAACAAGAAAATAGCGACATCAACGGCTATTAAGAAGCCTTTTTTCCTGAAGCTGCAATCCAATGGAGATGTAGCTGATGATATGCTACGTGATAGACTGACTAGAGCAGTGAAGAGAACATCTAATGCAACCAACTTCTGTCTATCGTACTCGACCCGATATACGGTGGTTCCTCAACTAAAGGATAAGTTACTTGGTTATACCATTTCTATGTGTATCTATGATTCCAGCTGCTCCTGTGGAGAAAGCTGTATTGGGTGCACTACCAGACAACTGAGACAGAGTTAGTGAACACCTCACTTCGCGGTTGGGAAAAGGTACTGTCAAGACAATACGCAGTTTGGTTCTATTACACGTGATCGATAGTGATCATGTCGTAGACAGAAATAAGTCATTTAAAGTTATTTATCGTATTCCTATTAGTTTTCCTTATGGGGTTCGACTTCGTCTCTTACACATAGAAGAAGCTATCGGAATTCGAGCCAACAATCGAAGTCTTTGTGTTCACCAGGAACTTGTAACATCTTTATCTCTCCCTTGGCCTTAATAAGTGATTTTATTTATTATTACTTTCTATCCTCTTTCTTCGTTGATTTTTCTTCGCCCCCTCCCACCCTTTTCTCAAATATACACTTCACGGTCCAATTATCTGAACACTTCTTATTACGTAATTTTATCATTTTTATGAATGTTATTTCAGTGTCTATACTTTTCTAATCATTTCCCATTACGTAACACTCATTCAAGCCTTTATTATTCTTATCACAATTAGTACACCTGTCATCACATTACCAATTTGTACTTTTCAATTATTATGTTTATTTATGTAATCTATTCCACTGTTATCATTGACACATAAACTTCCTTGATTGGTTTAATAATTTCATATATGCATATAAATATTGCTGTATAATAGAGTAAAGCCTGATGAGGATCTAATCAAAAACAATGCTGTTCGCTTATAGATGTTCTACATTTTACAACTTAACACAATGACCTAAAACATTCACAAATCGACTACACTGTGTTCCACTAAAACTGAGAAAACAGCAGTTTTATTGAAGCTCAGGCCTACGATGGCACAATGTGAAGCACATAAGTATTTATCAAATGTTTTGAAGTTTTTTAGAATCAGTCACAGGGAATGCGCATTCCAAGGATTTCTCCACATATGCTGTCGTCAGTTAGGTAAGTTTTTTTGTACAGTGAAAGAAAGGGTCGTGAATTTCATTTAGAGATAATCAGATTACAATGGTAAATCAAACAAAATTTATGTTATTTATGTAGAATAGGTATCAATCATAGAGAAGTGCTCAAGAAAGGACCTCACCATTCTGATGGGAGATCTAAACGCCAAAGTCGGAATAGACAACACCGGATATGAAGATATAATGGGACGACATGGACTGCGAGACAGAAACGAAAATGGGAAAAGATTTGCAAACTTATGTGCATTCAACAAATTGGTCATAGGAGGCACAATACTACCACACAAACGTATACACAAGGCTACATGGATCTCACCGGACCACACTACAGAGAACCAGATAGATCATATTTGCATCAACAAAAAATTCCGAAGGACAATGGAAGATGTGAGAAGCAGTAGAGGTGCTGACATAGCTTCAGATCACCACCTAGATGTAGCCAATTTAAAACTGAAGCTAAAAAAGAACTGGACAAGTGGACAAACAGCAATACAAAGGTTCAATACAGCCTTCCTTCGAGATACTAACAAAATCAACGAATTCAAGATGGCTCTCAACAACAGGTTCCAAGCCTTACAAGATCTACTGAAAGAAGAAGAAACTACTATGGAGGACAACTGGAAAGGCATCAAAGAAACATTACCTTCAACGTGTCAAGAGGTTCTGGGCCTAAAGAAACACCATCATAAGGAGTGGACCTCCATAGAAACACTGGACAAGATCAAAGAAAGGAAGAACAAGAAGGCAGCAATTAACAACAGCCGAACACGAGCAGAGAAAATCCAAGCACAAGCGGAATACACAGAAGCAAACAAGCAAGTGAAAAAGAGCATTAGAGCCGACAAAAAGAAATACGTGGAAGAACTAGCAACGACGGCAGAAAAAGCTGCAATAGAAGGAAATATGAAACAGCTCTACGATACAACGAAGAAAATAGCAGGGAAATACAGTAAACCAAAAAGACCGGTCGAAGACAAAGAAGGCAGGCCAATCACTGAAATTCAACAACAGCGGAACGGATGGGTAGAATACTTCGAGGGACTCCTGAATAGGCCGGCTCCAATGAATCCACCGGACATCGAAGCAGCACACACAGATCTTCCCATAGACGTCAACCCACCAACGACCGAAGAAATCAGAATGGCCGGTCATCAGACAAATCAAGAGCGGGAAAGTAACAGGACCCGACAACATACCAGCTGAAGCACTGAAGTCAGACATCGAAGTAACTACAAACATGCTTCACCTTCTATTGAAAAAGATTTGGGAGGAGGAACAAGTGCCGATGGACTGGAAAGAAGGACACCTCATCAAGATTGCAAAGAAAGGAGATCTGAGCAAATGTGAAAACTACAGAGGCATTACACTACTGTCAATACCAGGGAAAGTCTTCAACAGAGTGTTGCTGAACCGGATGAAGGATGCAGTAGACGCCCAACTTCGAGATCAACAAGCTGAATTCCGTAAGGATCGGTCGTGCACAGACCAAATTGCAACACTACGGATCATCGTCGAACAATCAGTTGAGTGGAACTCATCACTATACATCAACTTCATTGATTATGAAAAGGCATTTGACAGTGTGGATAGGAGGACGTCATGGAAACTTCTTCGACACTACGGAGTTCCTGAGAAGATTGTCAATATTATCCGGAAGTCATACGACGGACTACAGTGCAAAGTAGTGCATGGAGGACAGCTGACAGATGCATTCCAAGTAAGGACCGGAGTCAGACAAGGATGTCTACTCTCTCCCTTCCTCTTTCTTCTGGTGGTCGACTAGATTATGAAGACCTCGACATCTGAGGGAAAACACACAATACATAGGACAGCTCAGAACCAATTGGACGATTTCGACTTCGCAGATGACCTAGCCCTCCTATCGCATACACACGAACAAATGCAGATGAAGACAACCAGTGTAGCAGCAGTCTCTGCATCAGTAGGCCTCATTATACACAAATGAAAAGGCAAGATCCTCAAATACAACACGGAGAACAGCAATCCAATCACACTTGATGGCGAAACTCTGGAAGATGTAGAATCCTTCACCTACCTTGGAAGCATTATCGATGAACAAGGAGGCTCAGATGCAGACCTAAAGGCGAGGATCGGCAAAGCAAGGGTCGCATTCCTACAATTGAAGAACATATGGGACTCAAAACAGCTTTCAACCAATATCAAAGTGAGAATCTTCAATACGAACGTCAAGGCAGTTCTACTGTATGGAGCTGAAACTCGGAGAACTACAACAACCATCATCAAGAAGGTACAAGTATTTATAAATAGCTGTCTACGCAACATACTCAACATCCATTGTCCGGATACAATCAGCAACAGCCTTCTGTGGGAGAGAACAAACCAACTTCCAGCTGAAGAAGAAATTAGGAAAAGACGATGGAAATGGATAGGACATACATTACGCAAATCGTCAAACTGCATCACGAGGCAAGCCCTAACTTGGAATGCTGAAGGGAAGCGGAAAAAAGGAAGACCAAAGAACACATTACGTCGAGAAATGGAAGCAGATATGAAAAGGATGAATAGGAACTGGAAGGAGCTGGAAAGGATTGCCCAGAACAGGGTTTTATGGAGAATGCTGGTGAGCGGCCTATGCTCCTTCACGAGCAGTAACAGGCGTAAGTAATAAGTATGTAGAATAGGTGAATTTCTGCTAATAGTGTTATGTCCTAGTGAAGATTAAATTACGGGTAACTTCCGAGGACTATTAATGGACTAATATTTTATAAATCATCTTATTGTATAACTATTCAATAATTAGATTATGTATATTTATATTCCTCTTATTATAAGCTTTATTTTGACCTAGAATTTATTATTGTACGATTTACTGTTCTTAAGCTGTGTTCAGCTTATTGACCGCCGCCTCCCATGTTCACAGTCACTTTTTGGCCTTATTATGTACAAATGTTATTTCCTATTTTATGGTGCGTTGTGGTCTGTTTGGTTGATATATAAACCCAGTATGTCTGAAATAAATGAGTAGATTCAATTCGCATAGTGGAAGCTGGTATTGGTGTTCTGAGCTCAAGTAGACGTGCTAAGCGGACATAGGACCAATAAGGACACTAGGCTGTTCATACCGGTCGAACGTCATTGGTTTGGCACAGTGCTAAGATCGTATAAGTCGTATTTTGATTGTTGGATAGATCACGTGACAAAAAGCCAGACGTAGTCACAACAAACAGTAGAGACCATGACATGTGTTTTTATCCTATTTGAGACTTATGAGCTAGATGTAATTCAATTCCAATGATGATATTTGTTCTGTTCGCATATTTCACTAATCGTATTTTCTTCTACACAACTCTTCCATACTGTCGAAATTTCATGTGAAATACTTGATGCTTTATTAACTGCATGATCTTCACTACTCCTTGCTAGTAGTTTTGACAGAAATTAAGTGATAAATTCATTCATCCTGGAGTCATTTTTTGTTTCTGCACAAATATTTATTATTTATATCACTATTAGTTCACTTGTTTTTGAATTAAATTTACGATTTAAATGATTTATCAGCTATGTCTGTAATTCTCTAATGAATCCTAACTGACTTTTCATAAAATGCTCCTTCATTTGCTACAATGATGTTTGCATTTTCTTCACGGTAATAAACATTTCTCCTTTTGTTTCACTCGGAATTCTCGGTCAGTTGGTGTGAACTTAAAAAAACTCAAATCTTTTTGTTGTTGGAACCCACGTGATCAAGTAGTTGATACAGTACCAGTTGTTTATTGAGTGCAGAATCTCTGTGTTTTTTCCACTCCACCCCCCCATCTTCAATTGCTACGAATTGGAGGTTTAACTCATATCACTTGGAAAGGTTCACTAATTATAAATACCATTTATTATTCTCTATTCTAAGTATACTTATTTCGTTTTTAGACTATTGTTATACCCAGTAAGACGTTTTAACTGGCAACCGTTAACCGAGATAATCTCAATTCTTATTGGCTCAGACCATTATTCAAATTAAGATTCGAACCCAATAACTTTCACCAATGTTTTTGTACCTATATGGTTGTGTGATAGAATTGAGCTGTCCTGTTCAGGTTATAAAAAGCTTGGAAACAATAAACATAAATGTATAGTGAATAAACACAATAATTCATATGTAGAATGATCAATATATTCTAATCACAGTCGCAATAGGTTCTTCTAAATAAAGCTTTAATAGTTGCAAACACAAGTTACAACAGAACAAGTTCATTTATCCTATCGATTTTCAATTCAACTATTCACAATCTAAAAATAATCATAAATGATATGAACATTTGTAAGAAAAAAGTAAGAAAAAGAGAAAAAAACATCGGCAATTTTTATCAAGACAATTAGTAAGATGAAAACACCGGTGTGCATTTAGTAAAAAAGTGACCAGTAGAAGTAGAGAAATTTGTAAGGATTCTGCCATGTGATTGGATAATAATCGAACAGGTTAAATGGAAGGATTCTGTGGTTTAGAGTCTTTTTCTGAAAATGAAAAACTTGTGTAGTGGGTTGGGGATAAACTCCACGTTGTCAAGTCATCTAAGTGTCTGTTTTACGACCTCAATTAGTGTGGTATTAATTAACTACACTAACGCACGAAGTCTACTAACTTAGATGCTATATTTACCATAATATAATCGACGGTTTCGAACACAGTACCGAACATCATATGAGTGGTTATAAGTGCCTTTTGCGGTAAAAGTATAATATACTGACGGCCTTGAGTTAGCCAATCGGAATTAAGATAACATCTCAATTATTCGGCCCCGAAGTTCAAAGTGCAGTGATAGATAACGCACATGTTATTAATAACCAAGTGAAAATCGGTAATACTTACTCCTTAAAATGCTTGAAATCAATAGAAATATCTATTACACAATGATAAAGTGAATTTCAGATGATGCCTAAGCTAAATTTCATGATATGGAGGGAGATTGTGTGTCTAAGTACTTTGTGTCATTAATTGCCTAATCAAGAGCGTTTAAAGAAGCTAGATAATTTTCCTCCTTTCTAAATCTCAACCCTACGTTTCTCAAGTTTGTAAATAAGAAGGTGGCAAGGCCTCGCATTGCAGATGATATCAGTTCGTGTTGAAAACTCTGACTCCACTTTTTAAGCCCGATTCAAAACTCTCAATACCTAACCCTAACCTTTTTGCATTATAACTGATGTCAGTTGGTGATAAACACTCTATGGGTTACTAAGTAAACGAGAAGAGGACTTTTCCATCTTTGATCATCTGAATAACTAGTTTGTCTGATACAAGGAAACTCATTTGGGATCTAGGTAATTTAAATTCATATTGACTATTTATAAATAAAAATTAGAACTTGTTTTCTCGCCTAAATAACCGTCTTGTTAATTTTTCAGTTTAAGTATCAATAAGATGTACTGTATATTTTTGTCTTCATCAGTTAAATAACTCAGATCTTTAACAATTCTAGGATTATTTATAATTTTTAAAGATCATTAAATATAGTTACTAATAACTACCAATCAAAAAAGGGTGAACACATTCATGCGTAATTGTCCCCACTGACATTGGAATCCATTACTCATCACACCAAACTCTACAAGTCTACTAAACTGTCATATACAATCCTTTCCTAGTCACTTCCTTGTAAATCAAACAAAGTTTGTGCTACCGAATTCCACTTCTAACAAATTCAATTATTGACAGTAATATATAGATTACAGAGATTGTTGAGTTCGAATTTTCATATCACTGACCCAATTTAGGCAGGCTTAGGTCTTGTGTCCAATTTCTAGCAGGGGTATCAGTGTTAAACACTAAACTGTCCAATGATGGAAAAAGCCCAGTGTTTCCTGCTTTTCAATGGTTGTCTAACTAAAATTAGGACGTGACTTAAAACTTCAAATGTAATTAAATTCTGATCATAGGCAATATAAAGATATGCATAAAGCTCATAAACCAACCGAAACCGATCAATGAAATTCTCATGTGCATGGTTCTACCATGATATTATATATATATATATATATATATATATATATATATATAGGTCGATAACGTGTAACATTAAACCTCTTATAAACAATAGGTTATTATCAATACCTCAAAAAATCGATTGTTTTCTACCGTACTACATGTGAATGGTGACAAAATGTGTAAAAAAAATAATACAAAACACGAACTTCATACTATATGTACATAGAATACATATTATTGTTCTTAATTAGTTCAGTGTTACATATATGTATATTTGTCAGTTAGTACTCAAATCAAGTACTTATTCAATTGTACATACATGAATCATGTTTAGAAAAAAGT